CAAACATAAGACTCAAAACTAATATTACACATGAATCCTAACAAAAAGACAACAACTTTGTTGAAGGATGTTGATAAAAAAAGTCAAAAAGGGAAAATGGAACTGAAAATTATGAAAAAAGAGAAAAAATACTCACCCAGCTGATGATAGGCAGTGGAACCGGCGGGCGATCAGAGGCGATCTCAGGTGGTCACCGGCGGTCGGAGGTGGTGGAGGGGAGGGCTAAAGATCTAGGGTTTTGAAGAGAATGGTGTTTTCCTTTTTTGTTGGGATCGGGAGTGTTTGGTAGGGTTATATGAAGCGGGTTGGGTCCAAAACAGGTCGAATTTCTTCTTTAAAAAAACGCCCGCATAATTACATTTTGCGGGCGTATAATGCAGGAAGGCCCGATTATGCAGTGTGACCGCGTAATTGAGCGATTTTAGCCCTACTAAGAATGGTCTGAGCTTGAGTAGGAATAATCGGCCGAGTAGAATGAGTTTTAAAATACTGATTACTTTATGATGATGCATGTAATTATTTTATTATAGGACATTACTTTAAAAACCTTTCAAGTGTCGTTGCTAAATATTTAAGCTATTCCTTTTCTGTGATGTTATTACATTGCATGATTTGATTTAAGTCTTCATTTGTGCATATATATCAGGCTTCAACTAATTTGTTGGCTTGGACCATTGTGCTTGTATTTAGGGATTTACATTGAAGTGTCATAGGGGGCATATCTTTCTTTCTTAAGAGATATTTTATCTACCTTTAACTAATATGATGTATTAGATTGGACCTTTGGGTTAATAGATTTATTATAGACAACTTGGCTTTACGTTGAAAAGTATCTTGCAGAAAAATTTTCCATTTGACATGGCTATAGGGAACTTCGATTCATAAATTGTTCTAATGCACATCTTTCTTAAAACATACTTTATTCTTATGATGTACTTCTCTTTTTTTTGTTTTATATATTTGAATGACTACTTGTACTTGGATTCTATTATAAATATATTTTAATAAAAAAAAACTTACACATTTGGTTTTGGTTTGGAGGTGATATTCTTTTCTATGAAATGAAAAGGAGGGAACTTATGTGTTTTGGACTCTTGGTCCCTCAAGACAATTTCTGACTCTGCTAGCTCACGCAGGGTCTGTTCTGCTGAAATGGAGTACAAGAGAAATATATGTTGACAGCTGCTTTACAAGCATCAATTTCATATGAAGCTTCTATCAAATTATAATAATAAGCATGCAATCAACATTTGAAAGTAAAACACTAAGCATTCAATTATGAAATGTCAACTAGTTCTATGTCAGATATAGACTTTAAACAAACACAGACTAAGGCATACATAGCACAAGGTTACAGTTGAAAATTGCACAGTGATAGAAATATAGAGATTGTAGGGAATTGTTACTTACAGGATGTCTATCTCGATTCTCAACGTCCAAGTGCAATATTGGAGATCTCGCATGTTTACATCATGTAATATATTAGATCATTGCTTATGTTTGAGTGGGATTAGTTAATGCATGTCTGATGTATGATTTATTGATTCTTAGATTAAACAATTATGAGATTTGGATAGCATCCTACAATTGATTGGTTATCCTAATTCTAGCAATATTTTATCCTTTATTAATTCATTTTATAGATTAGAGTCACTCTTGATCCCTAACACTGATCCCTAACATGTGGTTAATTTGTTAAAAGGACATGGATATTTGTTTCTTCCAAACAGAACTACTCTCTTCAAACCAGTCAGTTCATTTCATGTCTCGACACAAAGAAAGCCATATGGTTATAACTCTGCAGAGGATTGCTGAAAATTTATACAGAAGAGATACATTCTTAAAGCAACAACTGCCTAATGTATTTAGGGCATGTTTGGAGCAATGGTAATTGGGGAAACATGGCTGACAGTGACCATCTTAAACGATCCTTTTAAATCACAGTTCTTAAGGCTGAAACAAACTCAATCCTTATCAAACAAGTTACAAAAATGAATGTGAAGTGAAGAATATATATCCAAGAAGCGTATGACGATTGTTTTAAATTAAATATGCATTGTATAATTGAGCACGTCTAAATAAATATATGCATATATTTAAAGAGTGTCCAAGAAGTGTTGGGTATGGGTATGCGTGGGTATGGGTACGACGCATGTCGGGTATGGGTCAGGCTTCATATTAGAAGTATCCACGTTACGTGATGTCAAGTTATGTTTCTCTCGTCTTCTATTTTGGTGGACAATGCTTGGCACAATGTAATATTTTGCCAGTGGGTTACAATTGAAGGCATGCGTGTAGTATAGCCGAATAATTTAAATTTACAAGCTTGAAAATAAGAGTATTTCTATTGATTATGATCTATAAGTTCCCAATAGTTGAATATTTTAACGTTTCCTCCTTGTTTGATTATTAAGTTGATGTGTCTACACTTGTTCTCAAAGGCTGACTTGAGCAAATGTAAGGAACCTGCTAGACCAAGTAAACACTAGAAATGAAGCGTTAGAATGGTCCCACAAAGCATTTTGTGAATAGTAGAAACAATATCTTATCACTATACAATGTTTTTTGGGGAGCATCAAGTACTCTCTTTAGTAGTTAAGTGTTCTCAGTGAAGGTATACTGTATTTTGTATAGACTCTGCTATCAGTTAATCGTATTTTTCAGGTTGATATATGTGTGTTTTGGATGGAAATATCAACATACAGAATAATTGTGTCAGACTTATCGACCATACAGCTTCGTCATGCTGAACTTTCGTTAAAAATCAGGGAGTGGCAAGGTTGGGGATATATATAATGATTCCGTGTGATAGTGTTGCAATCAATTGGACGCATGGTCTGTTAGGTTCTTTGGAACCTCATACTTTCTATCTACTTCAATCACCTTGGATGTTCTTTTGTTCCTTCCCACATTGTTGACCCTTGACCATACAGCTACGTCATGTAGAACTTTCGTTAATATCAGATAGTGGCAAGGCCCGGGTTATACAGAACTATTCCATGTGATAATGTTGCAATCAAGTGGATGGTGACCTATTAGGTCCTTGGAGCCTCTTGTTGTTTCCTTACAGAACTGTTCCTGAGAGAAGTGGATGGTTGAACCTATCTTTTAAGCCATCTTGGAAGATGAAAGGCACTTGATGCCAATGATTGGACTTGTTCAGAGCAGTTAAAGATATGTCTTGGTTTTGAAAATAGAGAATTTTGGTCGAATATGCATGCTTGGCATGCTGTAGATCATGAGGGATCACTGGCTGGTGCCCATGAAGGGTTGGTCAACTTACCTATGAACCGTTTTCAAGTTAAGTGGTGTGAAAAATGAGTTTTCTTGTTATTCTGATTGAACTTAAATAAACTTTGACCTTTGGGCCTTTACCAACCATAGTGATTCAGACAACAAACTTAAACCATTTGTTGATTTCATACAATATTGGAACTGTGATTCGGTTAGTTGGTTCGTAACTTTGCAGAACTCGACCGGGTGTACATGATATTTGTTAATTCAGAGTTGCTTTGTGATAATGTTAATGTTTCTTCTTACTTGCAAAAATAATTCCTTCCTTTTAACAGTTTTTATGGAACTTCTTTTCTTCTACTTTATGCACATGTTCAGTTTTTTCAACAGAACCAACCAAAATTTTCTACCACAATCCTTTCAAATCCTCCTTCACCTAAGAGGATAGTGGATTGCCGTTCTTTTCCTTGGCTTTTAACTTCAATTTCCTAGTTGGAATAATGAAAGTTTGCTGGAGTCCTGTCAGCAGTTCCCACTAAAATGCAGCCTTTACAGCATGTTTATATTCCTTGGCCATGAACTTGTCACCGAAATCTGGTTTTACCTGTAAATTTTATCAGGGTTTTTTAGCATTCATGCTACACATTACTATAGTCCTAGCAAGTTGCCATCTTTCCGTGGAGTCATGGACATATTCATGACATCACTAACCTTGTGTTTGATTAAAAAAAGGTCTAATTTTGACAATAGAAGTATGTCATTATGACTTTTGCTTTCTAGTTCTGTCAAATGATGAGAAACTGAAGAGTTTTTCTTGGGCAATGGAAGTCTTTTTGCATCCATAATTGATGTATAATCATGTGCGTAGCATCTATGTGATTTTCAGTGTGTTTTTGATGCATTATGCTCGTGTCCGGCTGTGCTATGATCAGCCTCATTTACTTTCATTCTTCACTTGATCATATTCATTTCTGGCTCCTAATTTCTATGTTCACGTGTGTACTATGCTCAATCAAGTGGCAGCATATGATTGATACAGAAATTTAGGGTATTGGATATCCACCTCAGTGTTAGCTTTTGTGAATTTTAGAGAGATGCACACCAAGAAACAATCTGTAGGTATATAATTGGCATTTGCTGAAGCGAGAGTATTATTGACATCAGGACCTCCCTTTTCTTTTCAAATTATATGTCTTGTGTGTTGATACCATATCACATGTTCCTGCTCATAGATGTTTGAATTATTGTAAGAAATGGTGACTGTTTATCTAGTAGTTACTGATTCTAATGTTTTGAGTGAAGACTGAGTATTACTTGGTTATGCTGTTACAGGAGAGGTTATTGGTTAATGTTTATGGAGGTTTAGAATTTTCTTAGGTTTGTCTCCACTCTCCAGTGTTAGTCGGTGATGTGGGAACTGTGCATCGCATTCTGTTCATATCCGAATAAGTTAGGGAGGAAAAATAAAATTAATCCCACCTACCTAATACGATTGTTGGAGATTCTGTGTGCTTTTGTTATGCAACTGCTTGTCCGTGTGCCAGGAATATTCTCTATCTCGGTATTGTAGTTATTACCCTAATCAAGTGGTTTCATTCCATTTTAGGTTGTTATTGCACTAAAGATGAGTGTTGACGTGTACATTTATTCCAGACAATAACAGAAATAAGTCGCATTTGACATCTCCCAACTAATCCCAGTTAAACATTTTCTTTTATAGTGGCAATCCAAAAATAGTAAATTACATTTGTAGTGCTTTCATGTAGGCTCTGGCTATCTGACAGCATGCTTTGCAATGATGGTTGGTCCAGAGGGCCGTGCAGTCGGAGTAGAACACATTCCTGAGCTTGTTGCTGCTTCCATAGAAAATATCAGAAGGAGTGCAGTGTCAAATTTACTGAATGAGGGTTCCCTCGCCATCCATGTTGCAGGTATGTTTTACTGGACTTTTGGTTGATTTATGCTGTTTTAGCTTTATACTCGGTGGTATTTACTGTAGTATTTACAAATTGATACTAAAAGTAAGGCATTGGGATTGATTTAGATTCGGACAATGTTTCCCACTTTGTGAGATGAAGGGGCATCAGTTACATCACAAGATCATACTTAATTTGCATATTTTAATGGCACCAAGTTTAAGACTCAATTTAAGTATTGATAGTTCCTCTAATTTTGGGATTTGGTTAGATCATAGGTAGACTTCTCGAGTTTGGCCGTTGCATGAAAGTCCCAAGAGATTGTATTTTTCACATTTGAAATGTTTTTGTAACTCATGTCCAGGTCTTCCTTCATAAGTTCATGCAAGATTTTGAGCAGCTACCATTCTTCTGATCATGACTTGCTCGCTTTTACTTGAGTTATTCTCTCCATATTTTGAAGTCTTGTAGCTTGTCATTGCCCATATTGAACTTCTGTAACAATGCCGTGGAGCCTCAAATTGGAAATAAGTTTTTCTCAACTGAACCCAGATATCTCCAACAACATAAACCTTTAGTCAAGCGCTGAAAATTGGTTTTCAGATGTAAAGGCATCATTGTGCAGTTACCAATGGTTTATTTGAGAGAAGATTCCGGTCAGTAGTGAACTACATTTCTACCATTTTTGAGCTCTTGAACACTGTAAATGACTCTTCCAAGTGTCTTTCCAGGTTTTCCTAATCAGTTTGCGCAAGCTTATTGCTTGCATGCACTTAAAACTTAGTTGTCCACAAGTACTGCCAACGAGCCTTCCCAGATCTATTGCAGCCCTTATTTGCCATAATCCTAGACTAGGGATCTATCTCTTTCCACCTTTAGTGTCAGGTTGAATCTAGTCGATTTGACATAAACAACCTTCTTCCATAATGATTCCCATACCACAGGAGAAAACTTTTAGGATTATTTTAGGACTTCAATGATGATATCAAGAATGTATTAAGTAGCGAGGTCAGGTGGTGTTCATTATGTGTGGTAATCTCTCCAAAAATTCATAACTTACAAACTATTGTGAGGTTGACTTCATTTTTGTGGGCAACTTTATTTGCTATCAACACTATTTTCTATCCATATCACTGTTTCAAAAAACCTCCGTAGTTCGCCTAGGCATACGCTTAAGCCTAGGCGGTACCTTGATCGCCTAACTAGCGCCTAGGCGGTACTTGGGCTGCCCACCTAGGTTTTAGGAGTGTTTAGGGGAGCATTGTCTACTTACGTGAACTGTATCCGTTAGGCTTTGATCATGATTTGCTGTGTTGCAGTCTCCACGTCCTTCAGCCTCCTTCAAACTCGTTTAACCTCCAAATATGAACACCTTCACTAACTCCTCTAACTTTCAGCAAAACTTCCTCGACCACCACTTAAATGAAGAAAGAAATCCGCATAGACACTAGTCCAGCATCTAAGCTTTCTATAACATGAACATTTACTATCAATTATTGTAATTAAAAAATAAAAAAGAATATCTCCTAGGCTCTAGGCGACGGGTCCAACACCTAGGCCTCCTAGCGCTTCCTATAATATTGTTAGTTATTATTTTGACTATTTAATATTTAAGTATGCATGGTTTATTGTGGATCTAGGATTGTTATCTTTTTTTTTTTGTAAATTTATATGAATTTAACATATATTTTTATCAGTTATTATAATTAAATAATTTAAAAAATAACCAAACGCCTAGGCGCTGCCTAGGCATACGCCTAGACGTCTAGGCACTAGGCGTTGGCTCAAATGCCTAGTCCGCCTAGGGCCTTCTGTAACATTGATCCATTTCTTGAAACCTACTCTATAAACGTAAGGTGTGTATTGTTATCAGCATAATGAACATTGTAGACGCTGTTCAATGAGAGCTCTTTGGTGGAAGAGATGGTAAGATGGCACTGTGATATCTCGTGGACAATAATGTATCTGGGACCAGATTTTCATGTGAAAAGTGATTATATTTTCTTTCCATATATTCTTATTTTCTAATGTGCAGATGTCAAGTATTTATTTGGTTAGATATATTTATTACGAGAGTATATCTTTAGTTACAGATGCGATTCACCTTCCCTCTGAATTCCAAAAAATTGTCTAGAGTAAACACTTCCTTATCTCTCCTCTCTTTCACAAACACAAGAATGCAGATAATGCCAGATTGCTTCTACATTAATGCTCACTTCTTGGAGAAGACAAAATCCAAGGTTACAGGGAGCGTTAGGCGGCTAGGCACTGGACAAGGGGCCTGGAGTCTAGGCAGGAGCCTAGACAGGGCCTAATAGAAAGCACTAGGCACCGCTAGGCTCTGGACTGGCATCTAGGCGGCTCTCTTTTTTTGTTTAAGTGGCAGTGAAGATTTTTTGAAAGTAGTAGGTGGAGGAGGTGTTCATAGTCAGTGTAGGAGGCTGGAGGAGTTTGAAGGGCATTGAGGCTATAGGGGAGTAAATCACGAACAAGACTTGAAGTGGTGCAGTCCGTGTAGGCGCTCCACACCCCCTAGGCGTAATTCTATTAGATCATAAGTGACTACACTGTCAGCATGAAACTGCACAAAGTTTCATCTTGTAAATGTTTTTTGAACTAGTGTTTGTTTCAAATTCTTACAACTTGTAACCCAATTTGATGAATGCAGATGGAAGAAATGGTTGGCCAGAACTGGCACCTTACGACGCCGTTCACGTTGGAGCTGCATCAGCTGAAATACCTAGACCGTTGATTGACCAGCTGAAGCCTGGTGGGAGAATGGTGATTCCAGTAGGTAGCTTTTTCCAAGATCTGGAGGTGGTTGATAAGAAGCTTGATGGTTCTGTTAGCATTCACACTGTAACATCTGTTCGCTATGTCCCTTTGACGAGCCGAGCAGCACAGTTGCAGGGATTCTGATTCAGGATGTACCGTGCATCCAGTAAATATGTCAAGTATATGTGAGTGTTAAACAAGTCTTCTTTTTGTTTTGTATGGTAGTCGCACCTTCTTTCGTATTAACAGAAGATCTCGTATCATGGTTTATGCTGGCTTGTTTAACTCAATGCAAGGTGACTTCTTTATTTGCTTGTTTGAGGGCTTGTAGCTTGGTGCGTGGTGGTACGGAATAAACCTATGCCTTTCAGGATCTGTATATATAAATTTATGATATGTAAATTTGTGAATAGCATCTCAATATGTGCTCTGAGCTGGATATAATATCTCCGTTGGAGTTTATTTATGTGTAAGCTCTTTCCTTATTTCTTCTCTTGTGCTTTTATATTATTTGTGTGAAAGCTTTTTCCTCATTTCTTCCCTCGTGCTTTTATATATGCTTGGTATGCGAGAAACAGAGGATTATTTGTATACAGGTAAGGTGATCGAGGTGAACTTTAGCTGTGTAAATTGTGAAAATGATCGGATGTTATAGTTACTACATTTGTATTCGCTTACTAATTATGAAATAAGCAGGGCTGCTACGGAAAATTCATAGCCCTTAGCTGTGAAAATTGAGTACTACAAAGGAGCTGTATATACACTGATGAGATTTAAAAGGATATACGTCTTGTGCTACGAGAGAGGACTAAATATAGTAAATCTCGGGTTTGTTAATACGTTTATCGTATATGAAAAAAGAGAATGTTTCAAAACAGGCCGTTTTTTTTTTAAATAATTAGCGAAGTAGACCATTTCCTAAATAATTAGTAAAATCAATATTTTTTTGTCACATGGCCGGCTAAAAAGAGGTTAATTTTATAAAATTTCATCTTTAAAATGTACAGGACTAGTAGTCCCATATAATTTGCGGTTAATATATATCACAGTACCTATTCTCTCGATCTCCCATGGCCTGCTGAAGCGTCAAGTTCAAAGTCACTGTTGATGCTCCCTATTGTCCTTCGCCTCCGATGCTCTCTAACTCACCGCCAGCAAGATGTTCAATGTCGCCATGTGATGCTGGAGGTGTCGAGAGTGGTGGAGGAGTTCGAGGCGAAAGAAAAGGGCACGAATTATAGTGTTCATATCGAAGGACAAACCGTTCGATTTAGGGGTTGCTACCGGGGGGAAGGAAGTCGGCTGTGCTTCGGTTTAGAGGTCGCTGGAACTGATCGTGATTAACAATTGCTCTGGTTTGAAATTCCTTCGTAATTAGCAATTGCTAAATACACGAGATTACTAGTCCCATGTAATTTAAACACGGATTTTTTTTTTCAAAATTGACCTCTTGTTGGTCAGCCTTGATGACTTGGCAAAAAACAAGTTGATTTTACTAATTATTTAGCAAATAGGGCTGATTTTGCTAATTATTTTTCCAAAAAAAAAGACTTTTTGAAAAGATTCTCCTTATTACAACAAAGACTAGTCTGAGTCATCAAAGTTAACCACATATTCATTGAAGAGCAATGCTTCGGTAGTCTGAAAATAGCTATTTTTAAATAATAGAAAATAAAAAATTGCTGAGAAATAAAAAAGGGTAATTTTGTCTTTGCCATTTAAATATTTTTTATTTCCTATTGTTTATTTTCCAAAAGAGATTTTTTTACTCACTTTCTCCTCCATTCTTTAGCCGTTCAAGCCCTCTCAAGTCTAGCTCAAAATCTAGCACCTCTTAAGTTTCAAATAAGAAACCTTTGGTTCTCTCAACTATGAGCCCAAACTAAAAAGAGATTTAGTTCTGTTAACAGATAAATACTTGAATTTTTTTTTCCAAAAATAATTATTTGGAGAAGTTAGGGGAAAAAATATCTCATTTGGTACCTAAAATCTTTCTTCAATGACAATGATCACAAACATTCTCTTGACTTATGAAACCCATTGAAAGAAATCTACTAGAAGAGCATGATGCAACTTTAGATGGAGAATTGGATTAATAATGGGATAAATAGAGAAATTACGCCCTTGTGCCAACAAAAAAAGGGGAGAGAGAAACATTATATACTCCTCTATACTTATAGGAGGATCCAAAAATTCACTATTCATACTATAGCAAATGCCATAGCGAATTACTGTAGCACAAACATAATACTATAGCATTAAAAAATCATTGTAGCACTTATAAAAAATTATTGTATCATTTAAAAAAGAATTATTGTAGCGGAAATAAAAAAAGGAGAGGTTGTGCTTTGTACGGGGTGCACACTAGTTGATTAAATAGGAAAAGAGTAAAATAGAGTTCAGTCATGTCAGATAATAAATAAATCGAGAGGAAGAACACCACGACCCAAATAAGTTAGTTGTGGTCCAAATATATTGACCATAAAGTTCACTATAATTACTCTTATTTGACATGGAACTCTATTTTACGTGAGTGGGACCCAGTGCGAACTTGTGTGTGCTAAGGGGTTGTTTGGTTCGTTTCCTAGATATAGGAAAATGCATTTCTATGTACAAAAACATAAGTTTTGAGTTTTCCAAACTTTTCCAAGAAATAGGTTGTTTCGCTTTGGTTCGCACAAAAAAAATAATGGGAAACTAATGTATTTATTTTTTGGAAAAATTGCTTCAAGGCCCCAAAACTAAATTGTTGATGTGTCCCAGCCCCTTGAACTTTTTCTAATGTGCTTCAAGGCCCCAAAACTAAATTGTTGATGTGTCCCAGCCCCTTGAACTTTTTCTAATGTGCTTTTTTCCCAAAAATGAAAAATCCATGTGAATCGCCCCTTGAACTTTTTCTAATGTGCTTTTTTCCCAAAAATGAAAAATCCATGTGAATCAGCCCCATTTATAATTTCCAAGACAAAAAATTCCCAGACTACCCTCTTCTTCTACTCCAGATCTTCTCTAGATCTACTCCTCTTCCTACAAACTCATCTCCTCTTCCACCCTCTCTCTAACCTCACTCGAAACCTCCAACACCGCCGCTACCTCCGTCACCCCTGTCTCTACCTCGCTAGGGGGTTCTGCAAGAACGGCAACAGGTGCAGGTTCCTCCACGACCTCAACGAGGACAAGCTCGACGCCGCCATGGCCTCGCTGCTGCCGCCACCGCGACGGTGGGTTCCGTGGATTTTGATGACTCGTTTTGACGGCTGGCCGAGTTCTTTTCTTAGGCTTTCGACGGTGGGTTCCGTGGATTTTGATGACTCGTTTTGATTTTAGGGCGGCTGCGACGGCGGAGCTGATGCTCGCCGAAGATGAGAGCAGGTTCATGGGCCAATCGAGGATCGACCGGAGTTTGATGTTGTTTATTGTCATGTAAGCTTCAGTTGAACTGAGAAGGAGTTTGATGTTGTTCTCTGTGCAGTTTGATTGTTATTGATATTGCAAATTGTATGGTGGGATTTTGGGAATGCATTATGGTCATTGTTGGTTTGATAACACTTTTTCTGCTGATAACACTTTCAGAGGAGGATGTCTCCAATTATTTTAGGTTACAGGAAATTTTCTTTTTGAACTTTTTGATGGTTTGACAATTGTTGTTTGGGGTTAAAACTGATTTGGGTTCGTGTTATTTTCTATAGTATTTATGGGCCAGTTCAAGATGTGAGGATCCCCTAATCTCAACATGTTGGGGCTTAAATGTATATCAAAATCAAGAAAGAAGTAATAAACTCAGGGTGTGGTATATATAAATGTTGTTTAAATTTGTGATGGTGATTTCTTGTGTCTGCTGTTGTTTGTTGTCATGTAAGCTCCAGTTGAACTGAGAAGGAGTTTGATGTTGTTCTCTGTGCAGTTAACTGTTGTGGTTAGCATGTTAACTCTTGTGTTTAACATGTTAACTCTTGTGGATAACATGTTAACTCTTATGGATAACATGTTAACTCTTGTGGCTATATGTTAACTCTTGTGGATAACATGTTAACTTTTATGGATAACATGTCAACTCTTGTGGATAACATGTTAACTCTTGTGGCTATATATTAACTCTTGTTATAGTTAACATGTTAGCTCTTGTGGATAACATGTTAACTCTTGTGGATAACATGTTAACTTTTATGAATAACATGTCAACTCTTGTGGATAAAATGTTAACTCTTGTGGCTATATATTAACTCTTGTTATAGTTAACATGTTAACTCTTGTGGATAACATGTTAACTCTTGTGGCTAATTTGTTAACTCTTATGGCTAACATGTTAACTCTTATTGATAACATGTTAACTCTTGTAGCAAACATGTTAACTATTGTGGATAACACGTTAACTCTTGTGACAAACATGAATATAGTTAACAGACAATTTATGAATAATAGTTAACAGATAATTCATTATAGTTAACAGTTTATAAATAACAGTTAACAAATAATAATTAATAGTTAATAAATTATAAATAACCGTTAACAAATAATAATTAATAGTTCATATAGTTAATATTTTAACCATAATATTTAGCATGTTAACTCTTGTGTTTAACATGTTAACTCTTGTGGATAACATGTTAACTCTTATGGGTTATTTGTAATCTATTATCCGTTAACTGTTATTTCGGGTCATATACACGTTAATATAGTTCTCATTTAACATGTTAACTATAATACCTAGCATGTTAACCTTAATTGGTAAATTGATAAATATAACTATTAACTATAATCAATTATATGTTAACTGTTATTTTTAATTTGTTAACTATTAATTATTATTTGTTAACTGTTATTTATAAACTGTTAACTATAATTAATTATCTGTTAACTGTTATTCATAAACTGTCTGTTAACTATAATTCATGTTTGTCACAAGAGTTAACATGTTATCCACAATAGTTAACATGTTTGCCACAAGAGTTAACATATAGCCACAAGAGTTAACATGTTATCCATAAGAGTTAATATGTTATCCACAAGAGTTAATATGTTAAACACAAGAGTTAACATGCTAACCACAACAGTTAACTGCACAGAGAACAACATCAAACTCCTTCTCAATTCAACTGGAGCTTACATGACAACAAACAACAGCAGACACAAGAAATCACCATCACAAATTTGTACAACATTATATATACCACACCTTGAGTTTATTACTTCTTTCTTGATTTTGATATACATCCAAGCCCCAACATGTTGAGATTTGGGGATCCTCGCATCTTGAACTGGCCCATAAATACAATAGAAAATAACAAGAACCCAAATCAGTTTTAACCCCAAACAACAATTGTCAAACCATCAAAAAGTTCAAAAAGAAAATTTCCCGTAACCAAAAATAATTGGAGACATCCTCTTCTCTGAAAGTGTTATCATCAGGAAAAGTGTTATCAAACCAACAATGACCACAATGCATTCCCAAAATCCCACCATACAATTTGCA